CACTGAGGGTTGTGATCCGTTGCCGGACACGAAAAAAGACAAAAAAAAAAAAAAAAGAAAATAGCCAATGGGCATGGTTATACAACATTGTGAAAGTAATTAATGCCCCTGAATTGCACACTTAAAAATGATTAAAGTGGCAAGGTTTTGATATACTGTTGACCCTTGAACAACGTGGGGGTTTGGGGCACCAAACCCCACCACCCCCACCCCAGTCAAAAACATATAACTTTTGACCTTCCAAAAACTTAACTTCTGAGAGCCTACTGTTGACTTACCAATAACATAAACAGTTGATTAGCACATATTTTGTATATTATATGTATTACATACTGTATTCTTATAATAAACTAGAGAAAATAAAATGTTATTAAGAAAATCACAAGGAAAATACTTTTACAGTACTGTATGTATATTTATTGAAAAAAATCTGCATCTAAGTGCACCTGTTCAGTTCAAACCCATGTTGTTCAAGAGTCAACAGTATATGTTTTACCAATGTAATAGACCAAAACCATTGAATTACACACTTTAAGTGGGTGAATTGTATAATACATAAATTGTATCTCAAGCTTTTTAAAAGGGGCGAGGGTGACTTCATTTCAGGAAATAATGAGGAACCATATTAACTTCCAGTGCTAAAATCCTAGATTTTGATCCCTGTACGTTTACTTAGTGTCACCGTCCTACATCCCTTTCTGTATCTTTCCTGAGGTTTTGGCTGTTTTCCCCCTGCTACTATGGTTTCGTTGCTATTTGAAGTCCTGCCGTGAGGCAGTCTAACCTTGTTTCTCTTTCTCTTTATATGCAGTCCCTCAAACAAGTTATCAGGGTTTTTTTTTCTCTCCTTTCATCCTCCTTCACGTCCCTCAGACCCACACTCTAATTCACGTTGCACTTAGTTAATTTAGCAAGCTGTAAAAACTAATCTGTTTAATCTTTTTTATTACAAAAAATAGTCCTTAAAAAGATTTATTGTTGACCAAAATTACTTTCTTAGTTGATGAAATATGTGGTGAACACCTTTTTAATCTAGACCCTTTCTCTCCCACCCTGGGTTTCTGTGACTTTGCTCGGAACTCCTTGCTTCACACAGCATTGCATAATAGGAAAGGTAGGACTAGGGGACTCTTCTCAGTCTTCAGCCTCATTTTTATCAAAAGGTTTCTGATAGGATATCCAGGAATGATTTTGCCTCCCAACATCATCTTCTTATGCTGAGTCAGACTCAGCAGTACTCTCCAAAGCATCAAATGCACATAGTTCCCTGGGATCAGATAAATTCAGAAACTCCAATTATATAGGTTCACATTACAGAATGTTTTCTAAGTCTATACATTTGTATGCGTACGTGCCATGCTAGCATGATTACAACAATGTTGTAGTTTTGTTTTGAGATAGAAGTTAGTCAAATTCTTTGGCTATTATCCTTCTTAGCTAGCTCTATTTTTTTTTTTTTTTTTAAAGATTACCGGTAAGGGGATCTTAACCCTTGACTTGGTGTTGTCAGCACCACACTCACCCAGTGAGCTAACCAGCCATCCCTATATGAGATCTGAACTCGTGGCCTTGGCAGCACCACACTCTCCCGAGTGAGCCAAGCACCGGCCCCTTCCTAGCTAGTTCTTGTTAATATTAACCAGGGTATTGTTTGTAGCTCAGTGCTTTTTATATAGGATAAGCTTTAATAAAGGTCTTGATTGACATATTTGACTACGACTAAATATAGTTTGACTTTTAAAAATTTTAATGAAATCTTTAATGTGATAGTTAACCATCACATACATACTAATTATGTTTCCATTTTACAGGAAGAGAAACCAAGAAAAAGTAATTAATCTACTTGATCCAGTTGATGTAGTTTGATAGTTAAATGTTTATGTAGAGGCCAGCTATTCCGGTTTTTTAATAATCTTTACTTGCTCTTCCTGTTGTGTGTTAGGTCTTCCATGTAACAGGATAATTGGGGTTGATAAGTGACAGTAAAATACAAATCATATAACTTTAGTTCATGTTCTTAAGAGTGTGATAGACTATATAGGTGATAGCTAGTAGCTTAAATAAAAATTTGAAATGATTTAGGAAATGTGGGTTTAAATGGGTTGTGTAAACCTTATTTATTATCTTTGCTGTTTTTAGCTGAGCCATTAAAATTTGGCTAAGTTATTTACCAATATTACGGTTTTTCCTCATAGTAAAACTTAGTAGTTCATGACTCTAACACTATATATCTATAGGTTCTAGGTAGATTAAAAGATGAAGAAATTCGATGTCGAAAATACTTAAATCCAAGTTCATATACTAAAGTGATTCATGAATGTCAGCAACGAATGGTAGCAGACCACTTGCAGTTCTTACATGCGGAATGTCATAATATCATTCGACAAGAGAAAAAAAATGGTAAGTGATACCAAACATAAATGTGAATAGAAATTAAATTATAAACCCACTTTTTACATCATCATCCAGCCACCTTAGATTTAAAGCATATTTTAGTAATAGTCTTTAAAATATTGATGTACTTACTTACAAATTATTAATAATGTATTTTGAAAGACTATTTTGGAAAAGTATATTTTCAAAATGTATTCTAAAGTCAAAAGAAAAACTGGGAAAATGTGTTTATACATTTTTATATATCAAAAGGTCTAATTTACTTCATACATTTAGAATTCCTAATAAACAGTAGGAATAAAGGCATAACTATGAAAAGGAAATATAAATATGTTTTAAATATATGAGGAGATATAGGAGAAATACAAAATAAAAATACAGTGAGATACCAGCAATAAATAGTGGAATAAAAAGAATTTTTTTAGAGAAAGAGAAATTATCAAATAGCAGGAAATAAATATAATAAGACATGTGCCAGACCTACACAGAAAATTAAACATTGTTGACAGCAACATTGATTTGTAAATCCAAGGCAATCTAATCAAAACCCAATAAAAAAAAAATTTTTTTAATTTATAAAGAAAATGAAAATTTATTGCTTACAGTTTCTGAGGCTGGGAAGTCCAAAGTCCATCTTTTTTTTCTTTTTTAATTCTGAAAGCTATACTCTTAGACTAAGAATGGCCAACGTAATCTTGAAGAGCATGATGGAAAGACTTTACAGGATAGCAAGATGTCATGAAGCCACAAGAATTAAGACAGAGAGGCATTGGTACAGGATTAGACAGACCAGTGTAATAAACAATGTGTAGAAGCAGCCCATGCATATGTAGATGCTTGATTTAAGACCAAGGTGGACTGCAGAGCAGTCAGTGAAAGATGGTCATTTCTCACACAGTACTGAGTCAACTGAATACCCATTTGGGGAAAAAAAATGAAATTCGATCTCTACTTTAGACACTGTAAACAAAATCAATTCATTACAGGTTTTTTTTTTTTTTAAATCTAAACATAAAAGGTAAAACAATAACACTTCTAAAAGGTAATATAGGAGAATATCTTCATAACCTTGAGGTAGGGAAAGATAATTTAAATAGGACACAAAAGTGCTAACCACAAAGGAAAGATTGATCCAGTGGACTACATTAAAATGGAAAACTTTGGATCATTAAAAGACGATTAAGACCACTGGATCATCAAAAGAGCATCAAGGGCTGACTGGTTAGGTCACTTAGAAGACTGTGGTGCCGAGAACACCAAGGTCAAAGGTTCAGGACCCATACCTGGGCCAGCCCAAGAGAAAAAAGAAAAAGGGACACTATCTTGAGAAAAGAGCATCAAAGGACAGTCATAGGGTAATATATTTGCAATGACTGAAAGAGATTTATATTCAAAATATAAAATGGTCAAGAATCTTGAATAGGCATTGCGGAATACTGGTAGAAGATATCCAAATGGCCAATAAACACAAAAAGGGACTCCCATCTCATTAAAATAGAGGAATGCAAATTAAAATTAGACTAAGATATGAGTACTTACATTTTATATAAAATTAAAAAGACTGAAAATAATAAGTATTGGGAAGTGTGGAAAGTAGCAGGAACTTGTTATACACTGGAGTGAAAATGTAAATTGATATACCCATTTGAAAAACTGGCAGGATATGTGCATATTTTATGATCCAGTGGTTAGACTCCTAGGCATGTACCTCCCCCGGCCAAATGCATGCAAGTATGTGCAAAAAGAAAGGTGCAATGGGCCGGCCCAGTGGCGCACTGCTATAGTGCGCCGCTTGGGAGCGTGGTGGCGCTCCCGCCGAGGGTTCGGATCCCACATACGGACCGGTTCCCGCTCACTGGCTGAGCGAGGCGCGGGAGCAACACCGAGGGTTGCGATCCTGTTGCCGGACACGGAAAAAGAAAAAGAAAAAAAAAAGAAAGGTGCAAGAATGTTTATAGCAACATTATTTGTAATAGCCCCAAACTGGAAACAGCTCAAATGTCCAATAACAGTAGAATGAAGTACAATGTATTTATACAATGGAATATTACAGAGGAGTGGAAATGAACAAATTAAAGATACATACAATAACACAGATGATCCGTATAAACATTACATTGAAGAAACCAGACAGGAAAGAATTGTGTGATTCCATTTTTATACATAGTTCAAAACGGGCAAAACTAATCTGTGGTTTAGTGGTCACAACAGTGGTTACCTTTGCAGAGGAGCAAGAGGAGTAGTGATTGGGAGGAGGCATGAAGGGGACTTCTGGGTATAGGTAATGTCTTTTTCTTACCCTGGGTGAGTTGTGTGTTCACTTGTGATAAATCATTAGATATACACTTATGGTTTGTACACTTTTCTGTGTGTGTATTATACTTCAGTAAAGAGTTTAAAGTAAAACTCACTGTGCTGAGACATCATTTTTCACCTCTCGGTGTCAGATTTTGATGTTTGATAACACTGTTGGCAAGGGAGTTCCCTGCTGTTGGGAGCTCTCTTTAGAAGGATATGTCTACAAGATTAAAACTTTGACACAGCAGTCCCACGTTTAGGGATTTATACTACAGATATTCTTGCCCATATACAAGATTATTAATTGCAACATTGTTATATCAAGAGATTGGGAACAACCTAAATTTCCTTCAATTGTTAAGTAATTGTAATATATGAATATCATCGAGTACGATGCAGTTGTAAAATATGTGGAAGTGCTTATATACTGAAATAAAAAGACCTCTAAGTTAAAAAGTGTTCTGCAGCTGCAAGTAATACATAAAATATGCTACACTATTTGTATAAGAAGGGACAGGGGGAAGAATATGTGTATTTGCTTGAATGTGCATAAAACATCTTTGGCAAGCTACTAAACAACCACAACATTGCTTTCCTATGGGGGGCAGACTGGGTGGCTAGAAGATGGGGTTTGGGGGACTTTTCTCTGCATATACTCTTTTGTACTACTGTATTTTGAACTATATATTACCTAATAAATTAAAAATATTTGGACATTTAATAATCAGATTTCTTTTTCCCCTCAGACATGGCAAATATGTATGTCTTACTACGTGCTGTGTCTACTGGTTTACCTCATATGATTCAGGAGCTGCAAAATCATATCCATGATGAGGGCCTTAGAGCAACCAGTAACCTTACTCAGGAAAATGTGAGTTGTATAAGGAACTGGAAAGTTGTTCTCTTAATCAGATTTATCATGGAATTTTTCTTTTGATTTTACTGTTTTAATGTTTTAAAAGATGAAAGAAAAAGTCTTACTGTGCCAACAAATGAAATGTCTTCATTCAAATGCTTTAAGTCTAGAATTTGTTGGACTTATTTTGGAAGGATCAAATAATTAGAAAACCATTGAGTGAAATTGGATGCTTCTTAGCCATACTGATTTGTTAATTTAGCAATTGTTAGCCTCTCACAGAAAAATGTTTGCTATTTTTAATAATTGTGTTTCTGTGTAACTGGCATTGATATTTAGTTGCATTGGAAGTGGTACTAGTCAATGGTAATATAGACAACTTGCAATTCGCTTTCTTTACATATCCTCTGATTTTGGTTGCCAGGAAGCAAATTTAGATTAAAATAATCTTCCCTGACTATATGCTTGCTACCCAAAATAATCAAAACAGTGACCCTCACATCCCTAATATCCATTTTTCTCAAGAATACTTTGCCAATCAAATGACTATTTACAATAATTTGGCTTTTCTATCAAAGTGAGTTTCTATCATCAAATCTTGTTGGACTGCGTTCCTTATTATTAGTGATATTTAATGAATAAGATGGATATAATGGTAAATGTTACTTCTATTTTTGTCGTAAGTAGAACTGTTTGCCATATAATACTGTTTGCACCTATTTCTGTGTATAGACATTGTTCAGGAGCGCTTACTAGATGCTGATCCACCTAGGTGTAGATTTGTCTTTGGCAAATAATAATTCTTAGTTTTTATGTTTTGCCACAGTAATGCATGAGTTTTCTATTTTTTGTAGTACCATTAGTATATATTATTTACGTTTCTTACTCTGTATTGTTTCTTAGGCTTAATGTATTATTAGGCTTATAGATTCATAGTGTTGAACAACATTGGGCCTTGAAGCATAAAGTTTGGTATCAAGGCTGAGAGATGGAAATATAAGAGAATGCATTTGTAGTGGACTCAAATTCAGCCAACTTAGTTAAAGTCTTAGGTACTAACTTCTTCATAGTTATCTCCATTAAGGGACACAACTCACTTTTGCACTGCTCTGTATGTCTTCCCTCTGAGATGGGGGGGATCGCACTGCCCAGTTTCAAGGATCACTGTTCTCATGGATACTGGTGCATTTTAACTCTCCTCTCTTTTTCAGCCTTAAGTGACTTAGTAGGCAGTCTTTTTTCACATAATCCTCTATGAAAGTGATATGCCTGGGGCTCACCGGTTAGCTCAGTTGGTTAGAGTGTGGTGCTAATAACACCAAGGTCCGGGGTTCGATCCCTGTACCAGTCAGCTACCAAAAAAAAGAAGGAAAGAGATAGGCCTGGTAGTTCAGAGATTGTATCTTGTTACCCTTAAGGTTTGGTATTCCAGCACAAGACAGAAGTGTGCTTTTGATGGGTTCTTCTGGCAGAGGTTCTAGATAGTTCTGGAGTTGAATGACAAGATAATTTCAACATCAGTTTTAGGTTCTTAAGACTATCTTAACTAAAAACATTTTCTGAGGAGTATATGTGTGTAAAACATAATTTACTTGGAGGAAGCTTAAGTCTTTAATAAGCCTAATTTTATTCTTGAGCTTTTTAAAATGTGACTTTGTACTTTGTATTTTATATTTTTAGATGCCAACACTATTTGTAGAGTCAGTTTTGGAAGTACATGGTAAATTTGTTCAACTTATCAACACTGTTTTGAATGGTGATCAGCACTTTATGAGTGCATTGGATAAGGTAACTTTTTAATACATATATACTAAATGTGTATATAAAATTCTCTGTATTATTCTTTAGGCATTTTTCAGGATTAGGCTTCTAAGTATGAGATTTCTGATCTGACCTGGAGATTAACCTTAAGTAACTAATTTAAATATGAATGTCAAAATAATGTAACTTAAAATAACTAAATGATTGAATCAAATTGTGGAATTTCCCATGATTATGCTATGTTAGGGAACTTGTTAATAAACTAGTTATCTTTTGAAAATACATGCATAATTTTAATATTCTTTAGTACTGATTTTTCCTTCAGTATAATACTTAGGCTATATTGAATAATATTTGAAAGAAAAGTAAACATATTTTACAATTTTGAGTTTCGGTATTCTTCAAAGGAAATTTGCTTACAAGGTTGTTGTAAATAAAAAAATACTGTTATTTTATCTGTATTCAAATTTCAGTAACGAGTTATAAAGAATATCTTGGAATAGGAGCAGGATATATGATTTTTATATAATTAGGAATGTAGCTACAGGAGTCTGCACTATGTTAGATATGTAAACAGTATTAACAGATGACCACCAAAATGCTGTGTTTTGTGTGGAGTGGTAATTTTGGATCTACAGATTATACCATATATTGAAACAGCTATGCTTTTGCCCTATTGCTAGTGGCTAATTACTGGCCTGTTTTCTATTTAGGCCCTTACATCAGTTGTAAATTACAGAGAACCCAAATCTGTTTGCAAAGCACCTGAACTGGTAAGTTTGGTGGTTGCTCATCAAGTGTTGATTAGATTTTTGACTTGTTTCTAGTTTGGGTTGTTTTTTTTTAATTAATTTACCATATGATGTATATTTTAAGTTATTTAGTTTATGTTCATGATTTTTAAAACATAAGCTTTAGGACAGCAAAGATCCCATTTTTTTTATCTTATTTTGTATTTTTGCCACTTTGCTTCCTTTGAGGCATGATAATATG